GTGACCAAAAACCAGTTTTCCTGTAGTGAAAACAATTGCTCTTTTCTCAAAATGGAGCCATGATCGTTGTTTTTGTCATCGTTTTTCTCTCTTTGAGTTATGAACAAGTTCTGTCTCTGGAGTGCTATGGAGGCAGTGAAACTCCTCTCTCAAATTGTTCCAACTGGAGCTCGATCGAGTGGTCCATTTATATGCCAGAAATCAGGGTTTTAAAGGAGAAAACATTTCAAAACTGCATATGTTTATATTTTCTCTTGCTTGGGAACAAAGGACGGAATGTTCGATCAAATGGAGTGAGAATAAACCTCCTTACTAAAATGACGGATCTGACGCCATTTAGATTTCTGACAGACAATTCAGGCCGGAATTTTGGGCTTGTTAGTCTACTCAACTTCTTTAGGCCATATCTCGCTCATCCGACCTCCGAATCCACTTCTATATGAGAGCCTCGATGCTCGTAGTCTGGTCCTCTTTGATGTATAATCAAGCCTCTCTAATTCCTTAGCCTGAAAATATCCAAATCTATCTAGTGGAATGCTCTTGAAAATGGCTTCATTGCGTTGGCGCCTCAAGTACCACGCAACAACGCCAGACTGAAGCCTCGACTCTTTGTCCCCCAAGTGCATCGAGGGCCAATTTGCAAAGCCAATTTCCATAGCAAGCAGGTTTTCCTTCAATCCTACTAAATTTCATACCTGTTTCGCTAGAGGGCAGCTCCGGATAACACGTTTTGCTGTCTCGGGCTCGGCTTTACAAAGCGGGCAGGTGTCAGCTGTAGTGAGATGGCATCTCTTCCTCTCGTTGTTGGTCAGGATACGGTCGTGGCTAGCCAGCTAGAGGAAGTGTTTGATGCGATTGGGTCCATGCCACCTCCACCTTAGCTTCCACCCTTGCTTCTCATGCTTGTTAATTGGGTCATCATCACTATTCCTTGAATGCTCCACCATCGTCATACAAGCTGATCTGAGATGGGTAGGTATTTCAAATTACTCACAATATATTATTTCAATTGTTCCACATTTCATTTGTTTTTCTTTTTCAAAATGCATTATTTCAACCAAAGACGTTTATTAGTCTCGTTACGCTCATTGGGGTTGGCTATGAAAGTGGGGGCTCTTTTGGTAAATGGGTAAATTTCAAGTTTGGTCACTAGAATTACTATTAAAGTTCACGCTTGCCAATAAGATTAATTTATTCCATTCATGGTCACTTAAATTAGTTATATAGTCCAAGTTTGGTCACTCTTCGTTAGTCTCCATTAACTTTATATGACGTGGCAGTCAATTTTAAAAGTTGACCGTTAAATAAGTGACGTGGCAATTAAATAATAATAAAAAATAAATTTTTTTTTTATAATTTCCACCTCATCCCTCTCCTCCTTTGGGTACACCTTCTGTCATTGTCGTGGAAAGCGCACTCCTCTGCAGCCTTCCGTCGACCTACGATTGACGCCACCAAGTTTGGTCAGCTCCCTTACGCTGTGTCGGTCGTCAACTCCATGCTCTGCTCCAGCCAGGGGCAAACCCAAGGCCATTTGCTGGTGTCCCGGCCTTGGAAAATCGATTATCCAACCCCAAGTGGTAATTTACGTATGGATAAAGATGTTATAATTAATAGTCCGGGACACCTTGAAATTTGAAAAAACGATTATCCTCCTCTTGTTTCTAGTTTGCGTATGGGAATATAAGTGGTAGTTTGGGTAATACAAACCTGGGACACTACTATTATTAATAAATATAATTTTCATTAGACTACAACTTTTTTGTTGTTCTATTATAAACACTGTGTAATAGCAAAACCCTATTCTCTATGTTTAATTATATTCAAAACCTAACAATTAATCTAATTACAAGCTACCCTGAATTTGTATTGATTTTATGGTTGTACGACAAGTGTTGAAAGTGTCATTTTAGCTTTGAGTTACATCAAGAACAAATTTAGAAGCCGAATATGCGTTAGTTCGTGAATGATTGTCTAGTAGAATATATCGAGACAAATTTGTTGAGCAGTGTAGATACCAAGTGTATTTTACAATTTATTCATATTATAAAAATATATCATAAATTTTGTTAACTTGTATGAGTTGGGTATTTTCTTATTTAACAATTATTTTATTATTATTATTATTATTATTATTATATTTTTTAAAAGAGTACACCCCTATATAAAATTTATGGATCCGTCAGTGACTCCGACTACTCCTCCTCCCACCGTAGAAGAGGAAACCCCAATTCCTAGCCCCCTAATCAACAACCTAGTCAACCCAAACACCGCCTCTTTAATGACCGACCTGAGCCGCGGCTTTGCAAGTTTCCTCTCATTCCTCTCATTGTCGATGCGTCCTCCAACACCATTCCATAATCCATTCCATCCTTCTTCCCATTAGTGTATCTCTCCATGCTCCAATAATCAACGCCTTACCCTTTTTCCAATAGAGACGGTTGAGTGGGTAGAAGAAGTAGAAGCAGAAGGGCACACCTTTTGTTTTAGTCAAAATTCTCAGCCTATCTTTCTCTCCTATATATAGGTTTATATCCTTAGCTACTCAACAAATTATGCAGATGGCAGAGATCTAGGCTCCAACGGTAGCGCCACCAATCACGTCGTCATCTGGCGGTGCCGCCGGCGCGTTCCTCTTCCATATCCGTTCACTTCATCTAGAATATTGAATTACGGAATTACCCGCCGTCATCGAGCAAAACCTCGTCGCCTCAAAAGCCCTCGGTCGATTCCTCTCCTGCGGCGAGGGTAAGGAGGAAGCGATTTCACCAGTTGATATGCGAGTCGGGGAGTTCCTGAACAGAATGCAAATCTTGAGTTTCGCCGAGCTGGCTTGGCTGATGGCTGGGTTGAGGGGATTGGAGGGCTGGCGAGAGAGACTGATCGATTGACGATAAAGAAGATTAAATTAGTAATTATAATATTTTTTTTGTTTTATTTATTTTATTTTGTTATGATAATGAGGAGGAAATTATAAAAAAAAATTATTTTTTAATTGCTACGTCGCTTATTTAACTGTTAATTTTTAGAGTTGATTGTCACGTGAGAATAGGGATGGCAATGGGGCGGGTTTGCCTAAACCATCCCCATACCCATCTTTAAATATCCAAACCCATACCCGCCCCATACCCATGCGGGGGAATGTTTTGCAAACCCATCTCCATACCCATGGGTTTCGGGTACCCATGGGTAATACCCATACCCGTACATCCAACATTATTATACATAAAACTTACAAGAAAAGCTTTAATTATACCTCTAAACGAACATATTATATCATGAAGTCAACCAAACACGACCATTTCTTTAATATGGTTCAAAGAATATGATCCTAAAATATCCATTAATACATAATATAGAGTATAATATTTTTCAAATTATTATGTTCTAACTCTGATACATCTACTAAATAATAATTAACTAACATAATCTTGTTGACAAGGGGGAAAGTGAAAGAGTGAAATAAGAATTGAGAGAAATGAATTATGTTTTGATTAAGGTGTCCACTCAATTGCATTTCTACTATTTATTTTCTCAAGTTATCCGTATCTAGGGATGGCAACAAAACCCGAACCCACGGGTACCCACCCGACCCAACCCGGTCAACGCGGGTAAAATCCGTGTTGACGGGTTTTGGGCCGGGTTTGGGTTTAAACCCGTTCACTATTCACCGGGTTGGGTTGGGTTTGGGTTTAGCTAAACCCGGCCCGTGGGTACCCGCCCATTCATATAATTAATTTTTTCGGTATATTTAATAATCTAAATAACTAATCTTATTTATATTTGTGGAGACATGTCTAAATTTTTTCTTTTTAATTGTGTAGAATGAAGTTGATGTTATGGAGTGGAGAGTAAAGAAACTTAATTGAAAGAAAGAAGTTTTCAATTAAACATGTCATTTATGGATAATTTGTGATTTGCTTCAATTTTCTTGAGTTTTCTAGATTGGTATTGAACAATTTGTATAGTTAATTTGTGATTTGCTTGAATTTTCTAGAATGGTGTTTTATATATGGATAATTTGTATTGAGAGATTGATATTTGACTTTAAATTTTGATAAAAACTTGTAATTGTAAATTTTTTACGACAAACCCGTGGGTACCCATGAACCCGCGGTTACCCAACGGGTTGGGTTGGGTTTGAGTTTTTCAAACCCAGTGGGTTTTATCCTGGGTTTTTTTCAAAGATAAACCCATGGGTTTGGGTTTGGGTTTGGCAGAACCCGACCCATTGCCATCCCTACCGTATCATCATTGATAGATTATAATTTGACGCACATAATTTTTTATATATGAAGAAATTATCTTGGTTGGGCGGGTATGGGGATAGGTATGGGGCGGGGAGGCTAAAACCATACCCGCCCCCATACCCATCAAGTTTTTTGCGGGTTTTACGCATATCCGATCAAAGCGGAGATTCCTCGCGTTGACTGGGTCGGGGGTGGTCGGATACCCGTGGTCATGGGTTTGATTGCCATCTCTACGTGAGATAAAGTTATTGAAGACTAGAGCATCCACATTGGTATTGCTTCTCAATTGCAAAATGACATGACATAGGTGTTTGCAATTGCAAAACCAATTGCATTGATGTGGCTACCAATTGCATATTTGCAAGCTTGCAACAAATGCAATTCCATATGCAAGTCAAAAAAGCCTAAAAAAATGGGGATTTTGTATTTTATATTATTTTCTTTTCTCTTTTACTTAATTTTCTGTAATTTAAACATAATATTTAATTATATATGCAATTGCAAGTTAATTGCATTGATGTAGGTGAATGAAATGAATGTGATGTGGATTGCAAGAAATTTGGGTTGACAATAAAAAACATAAATGCAATTTCTTTTACAATTGCATTGATGGAGATGCTATAAAGAGTTATCAAACTTAAATCGTAAAACTAATTTAAATAATTATGAATGAAATAAATTAATTTTAGTGACAAACTTGTAATTTATTATTTCGTAAAATAATAGGACGAGTTCGAAGAAATTGGACACGACCCGTAATACCCAGAGGCAACGAGAGGGAGCCAATAAACACGATTCAATCAAAATATCCGAACTCATCGTCCTCTACGGCGGCTGTTACTCGGCCGAGTCAAGAACTAACCACTGAGAGAGATACTCAATCCCGGCGGCAGCTTCCTTCCTCGCCTCAAGATTCAGCCCTTCAGAATCCGAGATGCAGCAGCAACAGGTACGCGTGATAAGAAAGGGGTGCAAAAAACAGAACCCTAGAAAACGTCTCTCTTTGTCTGCTCTGATTTGAATTTACTCTTCCCCTCCTCGGATTGAACTGATTGTCGCGAAAAAACTCTGAAACCAAACGTTGTAGGCCGGCGGATCTGAAACGGAGGTAACTTGGGGCGATCAGCAGAACATCAACCAATTCGGGAGGCTCAACAATAGATTCCACGATCTCGAGGAAGAAATCAAGGCTGCCAAGGTAATTCCGGGATTTCCTTCTGGGTTTTAGTTCATCGTGGGTAATGTTGTTTGATGCCAGATTGGCTGGTTGTTCCATGTTTGCTTTTGATGGGTTGTTGAATTCCATGGATTTGAGTGATGGGTTTTGATGGAAGTTGGTTTCTTTTTGATTCATTTAGGAGAGCAATGAGAATCTGGAGGATGCGGGCAACGAGCTGATACTAACAGACGAGGAAGTGGTGAGGTTTCAAATAGGAGAAGTGTTTGCCCATGTTCCAAGAGATGAGGTTGAGACCAGGATAGAGGAGATGAAAGAGCTGACCACCAAAAACTTGGAGAGACTGGAACAGGAGAAAGTCTCCATCTTGTCACAGATGGCTGAGTTGAAGAAGGTTCTGTATGCGAAATTCGGAGACTCCATTAACCTCGAGGAAGATTAATGGCAGCAGGTTTGGCTGTGTGATGTAGCTTTGTTGTAGTAGCTTTGAACCATGCTTGCTAGTTGTTGAACTGAATTGCATTTTGTAGCAAGCAAAGTCTTTCAAGGGAGTTATCTAGTGATTATGAGTATTCATAACATTCTACTACAAGGTTCCATGTTATATTGCATCCTGTAACATTACAATGTGTGATTTACAGCAGCATCATTAGAGACTCTTTTAACCATAAGAACTCGCGGTCTTCTCCCGATCAAAGCAAACCAGATAGGATCACTTGAAACCACTCTGTAACCTGCTTTGTCATACAGCGAGCGAGCACCCATATCATCTTCGTATGCCTGGAGGGCTAGGTAGTCGAAACCCCAAAGTGTTGCCACGCTGTCGCAGGCTTTCAGCAGCACGCTCCCGACTTTCTGCCTCCTGTTTTGATCATCAGCAAGTAGCAGAAGAATCAGAGTTTGTTAACTAGGGCTAGATGATTGCTTAACTAGAACATATTTTTCTAACTTTGTTTTAACTTTTAAGGATGGTAGTGGTGGTAACCTGAAACTGCTCATTACAGCTATTCCTGAAATGTAGAGATATTCCCGTGCCCCCATGAGATGTTTGAGTACTTGTGCATCTCTGGCTGCTGTTGCATCGACCACTCCTACGAACTTGGTTGGTGACGGCTTGGAAAAAGATTCGTCATCACCGGCTGGCTCAGCTACCAGACATGCATATCTGTTAATCACCATCAAATTTAGACATTTCTTTTGTTCATATCTGCAATTCTAGTTTTCTTCCTTCGGGAGGAAGGTGGGTTTTTCTATTTCTTTTACCTGTCCCGCGGCGAGTTCCGTAGCTTGTAAAGCAGTCCTGAAAGCACTTCTGCCTGCAAAATCCAAAGCCATTCAAATCTCCGAAACCTTTGGAGCCTGGAAATGAGTTCAATAGGGGATACCAAACTGGCAACTGCTGGTTTCTCACCTTGAAGAACTCGAAGAAGACGAAATCGAAGAGAGCTACTGGTGTGTGGAAGGCTTCAGCTTGAACCCGAGCAACTTCCTTAACTTCGATCGAGTTATCCACCAGCCGCCTCACTCTCCACCCATACTCCGTCACCAAATTCTGAAACTGCCTCTCTCTTGCTGTTTTGAGACTGGATCGTTCTTCCCACACTTGTTCAGGTGAAGAAACGGTAGAGGGCGTGCTAGCAGTACTGCAGCACAAAACGACATCTTCCTTCGTCCGGCGATTCCTCCGAGTACCATAAACTACCTCTTTCCTTCCGGTACGAAGATGTAGCCCGAGAGCTTTAGATGGAGAAGACGAAGTTTGGGAGGAAGAGATCGTTCTGGAAATGGAAGGAGAGCATGGCAACATATGAGCCATTCTTTTTTCTTCTTTTTTTCAATGTTGGGGGATAAATGTGAGGTGATCGATACACGGCTTATTGATTACTGCTCTGTTTTTTTTTTTTTTTTTTGAAAGGTTGCTCTGTTGAGTGTTTGTGCGAGTGAGATCGACTGCTACCATTTGTGGTGGCCATTCCATGTCTACTTGGCAGCATTTTCAACCTAACGTGTGGCTCCTAAATTCGTTTGGATGCCCACAGAGAGGAGAGAAAGAGAAGACCCACCAGCTTTCCCTTTAGCCGGAATCTAGTGAAAACATCAGTTAAAAATGGAGGCCAAAGCACACCCATGAGCTACTATACTGTGCCATAGATCGTCAAATCCAGAACCGAAGAAGCTACAGAAACTGAAAGACACAACTGAAAAGCACAACAACTGTTCTAGAGCCATGGCCATAGCCAATACAGCACAAGAGAAAAGAAAAAACAACACTATCATCCATGGTATCACCCATCAAAATGCCAAACTTAGCTTAGCATCATAACTGAAAAGCTCTTCCAAGGGCTAATTCCAATTTCCAAACAACATGGCTTGTCGCTTATGCAGGACAGACAACGACCCACCAATCCATTCCCCAGCACAGCAGAACCAAAATTTCGAAATCAAAACCCATGAAACTGCTGCTTCAAATTCGAGGATACCCTGTTGCAGTAGTTCCCAAAGGCTGGTGGTGATGATTACTTCCCACAAAGGAGAGCAACCCACCTTCAACTGCACTCTCCTCGTCAACAAACAAGTCCTCGTTGACTCTAAACGCGCCGTGGATCCCCACCGCCGCCACGCCAACGATTAGAGCCACCAGGACATTCAATCCCACATCGGTCATCACCAATGCCAACACCGTGACGAGTCCCAGCCCGGCGAGCACCGCTCTGTCGTCGAGATTCCACCCCAGCACCACCAGCGGGGAGCCGTCATCGTCGCGAGCGAAGTAGAGGAAGAACCAGGCGACGAAGACGAGGAGGAAGACGATCATGGAGATCGGGTGCCAGAGGAGGCTCAAGAAGAGGATGAACAGCAGGGCCAGTGTGTAGTTGACCCGGAAGTAGCTGGCGTTGAACTTGATTCGGGACATTGCTTGGCCGTAGTCGTAGGGGCGGGAGAAGGAAGAGAGGGTGAATACTTCCCGCCATGGACGGGCGGTGGCGACGATGGTGCGGGTTGTGGTGGCGGCGCGTGAGACGAAGGTTGAGGTAGTCGGTGCTGATGTGACGGTGGTGGTGGTTGTAGGTGCAGGGATTGCGCCGTAGCCGGCGGGTGATTTCAGCGGCATTTGGTGAAAAAGATTGGATCTCGGAAGCGAAGTTAGAAGAGAGAAGAAATGAGGATTTCAAATTTCAATCGGATTGAAAGGGCAAGTTGTTATTCAGGCAAGAATGAGGATTGATGGGACGAGTTTTGAACCGGATTGAAAGAGGAAAGGGATGAATGATGATTTAGGTGAACTGCGAAATTTATAGGGTTTTGATTTAAGAGAGAAGAATTCGTCGGGGAATCTTTGCTGTAAGCAATCAGCCTAGTGAAAAAGAAAGAGAAAAAATATCGACGCCTGAGAGATTCGAACTCTCGCGGGGAAACCCCATGTACTTAGCAGGCACACGCCTTAACCACTCGGCCAAAGCGTCGCTGTTGTTAAACAATGAAATCAGCTCTATATCATAACAATTTGACAACACCCGGTTCTCAACATCTACCAAATAGTCTCATTGACTCAACAGTACATTGCCTCTTTGAACTGAAGCACGCATAGAGAGAGGAGGCTCAACTACGATCATGTGAATCGATTGAATCTTCTGGCACAAAAGCATAGTGGATGGGTTCAGACAATCCATATTCAACATAGTATACAAACAAACCAAATCCGCCTCTCACACAAATCTACTCAGAAGTCACCAACAAACAAGCTATGCTATTGCCATTTGCCACTAACTGATTCAAGAACCCAAAACTTGCCACACATCACAGCGATCTCTCATATCCATCGGCTTCTCCACAACCAAAACTTCTGACGACACACTTCACGACGATTTCCTGTTATTCTTACCATGAAACTTTCGCCCAGCTTCCACGGCTTCCCTGCATGATAAATCACCAAGAATGAGGAGAACCGAGCAACCAAGAGAATGTAAGATGTTGGAAATGTAGGATGACAGTTGGGCAACGAACCCAAAGGCTTGCGCAAGTTCGATACTATTCGGGTCGAGCTGCACTCCGTCGTAGAATGCATTTGCTGCTTCTTCAAACCTCTGTTATTAAGAAGCAATTTATCAATAAAAGTCGTCAGGAAAGTTGGAATCTTTTATACACTTTGGTCATGCTAATGGAATTTTTATTTTAAGGGAACTATGCCTGAAGCAAACGTAGAGCTGCTCCTTCTCGGTAGCAAGCTTTAGGCCAGTCTGGGTTCAATGATCTGCACTCTCTTGCATCGCTCAAAGCGTGCTCGCCTTGCCCCATTCGTAACCAACAAAGGCTTCGATTCGAAAACAAAGTTGAGTCCGTAGGGTCCATATCAATTGCCTGACAGATGGGAGAAAATTGCAAGCTTACTGAATAAATTCTTCGTCGATATATACTTAGTTATGCTGGAAAGCTCAGTGAGTAACAAACTGTACCTGGGTATAAGCATCAACAGCCATTTGAAAGTCGTTTCTTTTGAAAGCCTCGTGTCCTCGGGATTTTGCTTCAGCAGCTTTTGCTTTTACTTCTGGGGACACCTTTAACATATAACTATCACTTAGAACACAGAGTGGAGGTTTGGAAACAACAAGGGTTAACTTGCAAATGTTTTTGTATTATTTCATTATACAAAATGGTAGTGATACCTCAGGTAGATCTTTCTTAGGTAAAGTGGCTTCTGATAGACTGACATTCTTAACATTCCTCACTAGTTCCTGCATTTGTAGCCAAAACAATGAAGCAGAAAATTGACTTGCTTGTCATTATAAGAAAACCAATATATCGGCAATTCCAATTTTATAACACTAGGGAGAAGGACCAGCAGATCAAACCATGACATACACAAAAAGAAAGCTCTTGCAAGGGTTCAGCCATGGCAGGTTCTTATTCATAAGAAGCAAACCCATCACAGTACCGAGATTCAGAAGGAAATATTGCACATTGCAAAGCATGGAAAAGCATTGACTAAAGTTTTCTTTATCATATAACTATTACTTATTACTCACGATAGGATTACTTTGTCTTCAAGATGGCAGAAAGTAAAGCACAAATGGTGTGTTATCCTAGATTAGAACATTAGGAAATCCTCACATGAGCATTTCATGAAATTACAAGCATGCAATCGACAATGCTGCGACAGATTTCTAAAGGATAAAGGAAGGCCTGAGTGATAAAAATACAAACTTAAAGGATCTACAGAAGCTAACAGTTCAATGGACAAAACAAAACAAACTTCCATAATTACCTCTTGCTTGTCGGTTTCAGATTGCACATATCTGATGACGCCATCAACAGTCCACTCAGGAACTTTCTCCAATTTTCCAGTCACTCGTAAAAGGATCTCAACAGCTGCATGATTTCCTCGTGATGCTGCTATCTGTATAGCCTTCAGACCATCCTGATTTGGATAAGTAGAAATGAAAACCCATAAACAACCAAAAGATTGCCTGGAATAGAACCAAGTCCAGAAATTTTAAAAGTTCCCTCACATCCCCTTCCAGTGAAAAAAAAAAACAATTATGAACTGAAAATGACTTACATCATCAACCTTGTTCGGATCAGCACCAGCCTCGAGCAAACATTTCAACATTTCTATGTTCCCGTGATCTGCCGCAATGTGCAATGGTGTTGCTCCACCAGCCAAGACATTCACATTAGCCCCAGCCTGGCCACAATAAAAATATCCATGTTAATCAAGTAATCCTGGGCCATTGTGAAAGTCGATTAACTAAGACAACAATGATACTGAAGTATGTACGAATGAACAGATAGGGGAGGGGAGGCATACCTGAACCAACAGCTCTGTGCATGCTGATGAATTTGCTGCAACAGCTGACAACAATGGAGTTACACCATCTTCGGTTTCAGCGTTGGGCTACCAAAGATATAAAAGAAATAACGTAAAAAATGTAAATAAAACTGCATTGTGCAGCATGATATTAAACAAAACCAACAAATGACTTCTGCTTTCAAAAATAAGACACGGACATTAAAATTCCAAATGATTATCGTTCTCCAGTTTAGATCACATGGAATCAAAAGAGCACTTAGATATCTATGTCGCATCAATGCCCCTAAACAACAACACGGATTCCTGTCTCTCTTCAAACATTGAAGTGTGAGCCATCTCCCCTTACTATTATGCTTTCTCTAGCATGCCAATTGCCACGTAAATCAACAGGTTTTTTGAGAATTGTGCAATTTTCGGTTCCAATAAGAAGATGGTGTGAAAAACAGAGTCTCAAGATATGTAAATGGCGAAAAAGATGGACCTCTACACAAGCAATTGTGAAAACGTGATCAATAGGTGTGTCACTTGCCTTACCAGAGTTACTCAATGCCTAATTGTATTAAACTTCTCTATACAGCACAGAGGACTTTCTCTCAATTCAAAGCAGCAGAATGTATAAATCAACAGTCTATGAAGTACCAAGCACATGACACAATTGATTCCCTAGCTGACCAAACAAACATAATCAAAGAAGGGAACCAGCTTACATTAGCATGATGTTCTAACAAAACTTTCAAAGCTTCTTTCTGTCCATTTCCAGCAGCCCAAACTAAAGGAGCACCAGCATCACTGTCTAAATCAACCTCCATACCCTTCGAAAGTAAGTACTTCAGTAATTCAATGTTTCCTGCAAATAAGTTTGCCACATCGTAAGACCTATATGGAAAGATATAAGGGATATCTGGTATGGACTACGACTTCAAGTGACATTTTCATGACAGACATTAGGACCAACGCGTCCTACATTCAGGGATTTGAAGAAAAATAACACATACACAAAAAGAGAACTCTTAAGTTACCTGTCCCTGCACAATGATGCAGTGCCGTAGCCCCCATATCACTTGGAATCTTCGGACTGGCACCGCGCTCAAGAAGGTATTTAGCAGTGTCATTATGCCCTTGCTGAGCAGCATGGAGAAGAGGAGTCTCTCCTGTAACATATTGTTCAACAGAGAAGGGTATTGTAGGCCAACATCAGATTCGACACTTGCAATACAATGGGCTAAGCCAAAAGAAGCGCAATCATCAATCTCAAAAGATACAGAAGGTGGATTACCATCTTCGTCCTTAGTGTCAACATCAAGCTTCAATTCCTCCAACAAGTACTTGCAGACTTCAGTCTTTCCTTCTCTTGCAGCAAAGTGAAGTGCCCCACGTTGCTTGGCGTCCTTAATGGCGGCAACAGTTTTAGCCATGCCCTGACCGTCATCGAGCTGGGCGGCAATATCTATTCCAATCAACAGAACCCACCAAAAACAATAGCTGGGATCAAGCCAAAGTTGAACCCGAAACACGACATAGCTATACAAGAAAGAAACAAGAAACAAGAGGGAGATTGGAAGAGAAGCGGAAATGAATTTACTCTTCAGAAGATCCAAATTCCCAGTAAGAGCAGCATTCAGGAAGCTCTTCACCATCTCTCTGACTGCGTTCACAGCATCCAAATGTTAAACGTTAGAAGGCGACCTCCGAAAAGAGAAAAAATGAATGTAGCGAAGAAAAATGGAGTAAGAAAGAGGGAGGAAAGCTGAGATTACCAGCGAGGGCGTCGGAAGCATCAGGAGCCATGGCGGTAGAACCCTACAAAAGCTCTGTCTGAGTTAGGGGCCCGTACGAATTTCGGCGAGGGTTCGCCGGAGTGCAGTCAAAGGAGAAGAAGACTCCGGCAGACGTCCGTGTATATGGGAGAAGTTTCTGGGCGGCGGGAGGAAGTGTTTACACAAGACGGAGTAGAGTGGGAAGAAAAGAGAAATGAGATTGACGAGGTATACTAATGAGGCATTTATAAGGGATTTTCTGTGGTAAATGAAATTCTCAATACCAATTACCAAATAGTAATTTTAATAGACATGGTTTATCCTGTTGGCCCGGTCGAGCAAGTATATGAAAGATTAATAATTCGATCATTTTAATTCTTTTTTTTTCTTCGTTGAATCAGTTGCTTTTATTCAAGAAGAACCGATACAACGAGTCGAGTGAAGAATCTCGAGTGAAACAACAACTACCAACTACAAACTGTTACTATGTATTCTAGCCAACTAGTCAACTACTAACAAAACGGAAAGACCCTTCTATAAGTAACCTATCTCCACTAGTGTATCTCTGATTCCTCTATTACCATATGCAATAAACTGCAGATCATCTCGGATCAAGGCAGCAACCTGAGCAGGGGGCCGACATTGAGCTCCATGAATAACTCCACAGCGCTCCTTCCAAATAAAAGTCAATAGTAAACACCACAACAGGGCATGCCACTCTCTTGTCCTGGAATTACCAACCTGTGTCATTGCATTTAACATCGATCCCCAGTTTGGATGCAGCAGGAGCCTACACCCCAACTCCTCTGCAAGTCTTCTCGAGTAGGAGCAGTGAACAAACAGGTGCTCCCTGCTCTCCATTGACGAACTGCAGAGTGGACAGGAAGCATCATTGATTTTCCCCCATTGCTGCAATTTATCTCTGGTAATAATGGCTTTCTTAATGATCAGCCAAACAATCAGAATAAATCGAGGTGGGCAATTTCTGCCCCAGACGAGTCTGTGCCACTCAACCCTGGGTGCCTTGTTTCTCAAGGTATCCCAAACCCTGCGTATTGAGTACACCATCATTTCCTGTGATCCCCAATAGATTCTGCCATTCTGTTTCTGCAGCCAGGGAGAAACCACATCTCTCAGTTTCAGAATCTTCCTCCAGGCACAAGAGCTACTATACTGCACCCTAAAAGACCATAAGTCTTGTTGTCTGCACTTATACTCATTCATCCATGCCACCCAAAGAGTCCCTGAGTTCATAATGAACAACCAGAGCAGTCTAGTACAGCAAGCCTGATTCCATGCCCCCAAATCCTTCACACCCAGCCCCCCTTCCTGCTTTGGGAGTGAAACATACTTCCAAGCAACTTTTGCCTTTCCCTCATCCACACCATGCCACAGGAACTGTGAGCAGATTTTCTCAATCCGCTTCAATGCTTGCTTAGGCAAAACAAATAATTGCATCAAATATTGAACAATTCCCACAATCACAGAGTTCAGTAGTTGGAGCCTACCAGCATATGTAAGTTTTTTTGGCTCTCCAGGACCTGACGCGTTTTGTAATTTTATCAACAAGGATATCAATTTCTGAGGAAGAGAGTTTACCTGCCAGAAGAGGCAACCCCAGATACCTTACTGGCAGCTTCCCTTCTTTGAAACCAGAAAGCGCAAGAGCATTACTCTTATACTGCACTGATTCTCCCCCAAAATAGATTTCACATTTGGCTGGGTTACAGTTGAGACCAGAGACCTTGTAGAACTGTTGTAGAACTTCCTTCACCTGAATAATTGCCTGTGCAGACCCCTTGGTAAAGATAAGGAGGTCATCTGCGAAACATAGATGATTCAAAGCCACTCTCCTACATTGAGGATGAAAAGGCACCCTCCCTGATAAACTGGCTTCTCTCAACAGTGTGGAAAAACCCTCCATGGAAATTGTAAATAGGTAAGGTGACAAAAGGTCACCTTGCCTAACCCCTTTCTTTGCACGAAAAAAACCCACACAGACTGCCATTAATATTAAAACTGTAGTGTGCTGTTTGCAGGCAGCTTCTAATCCATAATAAAAATTTCTCAGGGAATCCTATAGTTTTCATCATAATGAACAGGTATCTCCAATTCACAGAATCGAATGCCTTCATTATATCAACCTTAATTGCACAACGAGATGTAAGATGCTTCCTGTTATAACCCCTTACTAACTCCTGAGCCAAAAGAATATTATCCATGATACTTCTCCCTTTAATAAATGCTGATTGGGAACTACTTATGATCAAAGGCATAACCTCTCTAATTCTGTTGGCTAGGATCTTAGCAATTATCATGTATAAAAGATTTATACAAGAAATAGGCCTAAAATTCCTAAGTGAATCAGCATTAGTGACCTTTGGTAACAGTGATACTGCTGTGGAATTAATACCACTAGGAAGCATACCTGAATTAAAGAAGAACAAGACTCCTTTAGACACATCCTCCCCAATAATACTCCATGTCTTCTTGAAGAAACCAGCAGAGAATCCATCTGGGCCAGGGGCTTTTTGAGGGTTCATACCAAATACAACTGCTCTTATTTCATCTACTGTAACCTGCTTGATCAAATCAGCACAGTCTTCCTGTGGTATTTTGTGCTGAACCAGTTTCTGTATTTCCTCTGTACTAGGCTGAATCTCCTCATTTACTTCCCCCAACAGTTTTCTGTAAAAGCCAAGCACCTCCTCTTCAATCTGACCAGTTTGATATACTTCTTCTCCTAAATCCTTCACTAGTTTGATATACCAGGGTCCGTGTACGTGACAATAACATTCCACCAAAATAATAGTTAGTACTTAATAAGCCCTAGCTGGGTAGCTTGGATCAGAGTAAGCACAACAATAGATTCAATCAAGGGTTGAATCGTTTTGGAAGTAGCCAACTCAAACAGAGTTTGATTGTCGGGTTAAGATGGTGACTTTCGTGCAACTTTCTCGTGGGGAAAGAGGCTCGAAGACTTAGGTCGAGGCTTGGCCACGAACAGGGTGTATACCTGTACGATACAAGCTCAAGATCGAACCTAGAAATCCCTAGGACGATCTCCGAATTCACAAAGCAAAACACTATGGAACTCAAAACCAATTGGTTTATATCATTCAACTCAAAACTGTCTATTACAACGAAAGCAACGAGTTTAAATAGACCTAAGGACTCCTAAGAACCTGTAAAGAAGTTCAATTACATTCTAACTCGGAAAGGAAACCAAAACAAACACAGAAATGGCAAACTTAAAATCAGACTTCTAATCCTAAGCCAACTAGGATTCAGATTTCCAGGCAAAATTCCAGCATCGACACGAACTTGGACCTCCTCGTTCGAGCTCTTCTAATCATCAATCCAATCACCCAATGCCTTGTCGTTGTAGAGTAAAACTTGCACTTGGATGCTGTCCAATTCCCTAGCTTCGACTCTTTTCCATGCGTCTCGTACAGGCCTTCAAAGTGAGGACCTTGAACTGGCTTTGATACTTAGCCATTTTCTGGCCAACTTCCAGCTTCCCCATAGCCTTTTGGAAAGCTTTAAACACCACTCTCCTGGCTTCGTCTTGAACTCCCAAGCCCTCCATCGTGCACAGCAACTCCCAAGGTTTAAAACAAACCTTCCTTTGTCCATTTTCATCAAGGCATTGGAGAGATTAACTCTTGCAAAGCGAGTATCCTGCACATGAACACATACTTAACCAAATTGAACTTACTTCTTGCTTACGCAATTGTGGCTTGCAAGGTGGGTAAAATTGGATCATATCAGTACTTGAATCCAACATATAGTAAAACTAAAACACACTCAAATCCACCATGTATCTTAACGATTGGCACCTTGAATAATCTGGAACAACCTAAAATATATAGATAGAATCATGATTCGAAGAGTTGAAAACCATCGTTTTTTCTTTTACTCCAAAGGGTTGAAGTTGGTTTTGCTAGGGTTGAAGTCGAATTCGTCATATTTTGATATAGTTGAAGCGGGTTTGATGAATCATAGTGAAGTTCAAAACGGGTGTGTGGCCATTTCCCACTGGATCCGGGTTAACCCATGTGTTAACAACTTTGATGAAAATAAAAAAAAAAAAAATTGAATCGTTATAATGTCATTCTAACATTACTAAACATCGTCTTGACTTCAGTACGTAAATTGTGCAACTGTCCATTTTGAATTTCAAATTGAAACTCAAAACAATGAGGCTATATCTCTCCTCCCCCATTCCTATATATTAGAAAAATTCATATGTCTGCCTTCCTACTTCCTTTGCCTACCTCCAACAACAAAAACCTACCGCATCTCTTCCTCCTTCTCAACCTCCGATAAGCCTTACCCTGTTCCAGTGTTCCTCTGTTGGAGAATAGACCGACAACAGAACCCAATCGATGAACTCGAGTGCTCTTGCCTCTGTTGGGGAAGAAGATCGGAGCCACCATTGTCCATCCTTGGGCTTCTGCTCTCTCCCCTCCGATCGCACCTCTAATTTGTCCCTGTACTCTTGATATCCAGTCAGAGATGAGAAAAAGACCGACCCCTCTTATCTACCCTTCATCTGCTTCTCGAACACGCCAGAAGAAGAAGACTAACCGAATACAACCAAAAGAAGGTGAGAATTGTGTAGAAGAGGACCAGAATGAAACTCTTTTTATATACCGTAAACCGAGGGTTGGCCTCATTTTACTATCTTGGTTGAACAAAAATTCTTATTTTTGTATGAATTGATTCGTATATTTATATCATAAAAAATGAGAGTACTGTAATTAGTAACAACCCTGCCAACCTCTAGGGAAATCCAACAGCGAGCCTACAATCTGAAATAAATCTTTTATATACTAATCTACTATTGTGCCAAGAAAAGAGAGTGAGAAAAGCCTGCAGAAGCAACCGATCCCCCAGCTACTACCTCCACTTCCTTTATAATGATCGATCATAACTTCAAGAGACTTGCCCTTACTACTATACTTAACATTGCATCTCTCACGCCATATCAAACTCAACATGGATCTCCAAAGTAATTGACCTACTCGTCTGACAACAAAAGTCCCCTTAAACTTGGTCATTGCCCATTCTCCATGCTCACAAAGAGAGCTTGCGACTTTGGAGGTAAATCTAGAAAACAGAACCGAGAATAGTTTATGATATGTGAGACACCCTACAAATAGATGAGTTTGGGATTGCAGAGCATACCCACAGAATACACAACTA